ACTGAAGCTTTTTTTTTATACCGACAGAATAAAGAATTTATGTACGTGACAGGATATACTTTTGGTATTGGTGATGTGTAGCCATTACATTTGTTGTCTAAGCACCGATTTTGGTGCATTTTTTTATTATGTACCATATATTACAGAATTCTGAGAACAAGTCCTACAATTTTTTTAAGGAACTGGCTACTCACATTGGAGAGGTCGTGATCAACAAATGCTTCTGTACTCGCAGGAATCCTATTAGCATCTCAGCTGCTGCTATATATTTGGCTTGCCAACTTGAAGACAAGCGCAAAACCCAGGCAGAAATTTGTAAGGTGACTGGTCTTACTGAAGTCACTCTCCGTAAAGTGTACAAGGAACTATTGGAAAATTGGGATGATTTGCTTCCCTCTAATTACACCCCAGCTGTTCCTCCAGAGAGGGCATTTCCCACAACGATAATTGCTTCTGGCCGTTCTTCAACAGTTAAGGCTGATGCTGTAGAGGCTATTTCTTCTTTGGACTCAGAAAAGTTGACGGATATTAAACCTAGCAAAGCCAATGAGGTCTCAGGCCTAGTTCATCAGCCCAAAGGGAAGGATGAGGCTGAAGGTAAAAGCAATGCACATGGAAGCCATTCCACACTGAATCAACAGTCAACTTTTTGGCAATCCCAGCTTCCCAGTGGTACCAACAATCATCAGAATGTTTTACAAGGAATGGATATTGATGTATTGCAGAGAAGCCACCAACAGCCTGAACACATGGCAGAGGATACAAATGGTTCTGCAAACGGTAATGCGTTAAAATCAAGCCAACTTTGCAGTCCTCCTGCTTCGAGTGCAAGTTCTGTTATGAGACCATTTTCAGCTCCCCCTTCAGCCGGCCCTTCAAATGTTCGATTAGGACAGTCACCTAAGATAATGCCAGGTTTTCCGGAGCACTGAAGAACAATGAATCAATATGCTTGGGAAAATATAGGTTATAGTGCCAACACCAAACCTAGAACGGATAAAATTAGTTTGTCACTTTTAAGTAATCTATTGTATATATTCACATTATGTCATTTGATTCAATTCTGTGTTGTGAACTTGATGGTATTGCAAGAACCTAGAGCTAGAAATTCATCGATAACTTAACACCAAGGGTTTGAAACCTGTTTGGGTCACTGCAATTGGGGTTCACATCTTCTAAAGCGTGAAATTAAGGAAGAATTTATGTCTTTTATGTTCAACAACTGTTTACATGGATGTAACTGGTAACTAAACTCATACTAACTCGTAACATGTTGTATTTGGACTTATCATTCAAACTCGTTGATTTCTTTGAATATGGAAGTCACGGTCCCATGTATCTGATTTCAGATTTCGTTCAAAAGTCGGAGTCAATACAGGACAACCTGGAACTAGTGCTCTACGTGTATTTCGTGCCCCTCCTCATCTCATCTCTACTCGAGGACTTAATTCTGAAGGGCTGTTCATCCATAGCAGGGTCGAGTAAGAAGTGCATCACATCGGTACCACCATGAAACAAGGTTCTGTTACACCCATCCTATCTCTATACCTATTCCTATTCCTATTCCACCCACTTTGCGTTCTCGTATTTTCGTATTCATTTATTTAGTTATCGTGTCTCTAATAGTAATTGAGTTGAAAATTGTGTGTAATGAGTGTATTAAGAAAAGTATACAACAATGAAAATTTTGAAATAATTAAAATAAGGCAAGTACCTGGTTGTAGCTGGTAGCCAGCACCTTAGTCAGTGGTGGGAATGTGTGCAAAGAAGACTCATGAAGTAGCGTGAGGTTAGAAGTTATTCAGATCAAACATGGTTCCCTTATATGCAGCAAAGACAATTTATCTCTTTAACCTGATAACTGATCATGAAAATACTGATAAAATATCTTTGGCGAAATATCGGAGTTCATATTTATCAGTAAGGTGGGAAAAATAGGATATTGTTGTACGTGGGAATCTCTACACACCATTCGGTTCTTGACTCAAGTTTGAGTTTGCGACGAACTAAAGGATAGGTAAGCTTAATGCTACTAAGAGGAGGCTAAACTCATTCATTTGATACTTGTCTGATCGAGTAGTACATAAGTCTATCAAAGTTTGAGCTCCGAATGAAAGAAGAGCTTTGTAGAACAGTTCAGATGGGCGAGGTATAGTGGTTATAATGATGTGTTCATGGTGTTTTAATCGTCGTCGGAGGCTTAGCTGGTCCAATAGTACATAAGTCTACCGAAGTAGAGCTTCAAAAGAGCGAAGAGCTTTGACGAAACAATTCAAAAGGGTGAGGTGTAAGGGTGCTTTTTGTGATGTTTTGCTCCTCGTAGTCTTTGGAGGCTTATGTGGGATGTTTTAGTTCGTAGTCCTAGACTATGAATGAGAGTCTCGAGTTTGGGATAAGGGTTCCACTATATTCACATTTTGAAAAAAGTTCCTTGAGCACCTCTCCAGTTTTCTACCCCTATTTGACACCTACTAAAAAAATATTTTTTTAATCTTCCAAGTGATTTATTTTAAATTATTTTATATTTTAAAGTAAAAATACTATTTTATAGGTGTATATCATTGGCCTAAATTTTATATTCACTATTTTACTTTTTTTCTATAAATACAAATGTTATTTCATAATGGTTATATTTCCTCTAAAAGTGGTTGTCATGTGATTATAATTTATATTGGGCGTTAAAAAAAAATCTCTTTGGACAAAACATAAAATTTAATTTAAATATTAAATTATAAGTTTTATTATTAATATAAGTAATAATAATATTATTTTTAAAGTTAAATATGTTCTTAATTTTTAAGCAAATTTGGATTTCATTTTTATTTTAAATAATAATTTTTTTATTTTTAAACTTTATTAATGACTAAATGTAATTTTGTGATAAAACAATGTTAAAAAAAATTGTGATGTGAGTGTCTTCTCCATTCATTTTCCTTCCTTTCTCTACCTTTACCTCCTTCCTTGCACTCCACCATGCATCTTTAATGGTCTCTTACAGTTGAAGGTGAGATTCCTCTGATCGGAAGACACCCGGATATGTTCATAAGAAAACCATAGACTACAAATTTCAATTGCAAAGCAAAATTTACAGAGTGTATCATCCTACACTTCCAATTTTTTTAAAAATTTCATTTTTAACTTTTTTCTTTTTCTTATTAAAAACATTTTAATAAATATCTTTTTATTTTCTTCTTTTATAAAAGACACTCTACACCACCTTAATAATAATTCTAATTTAATTTAAAATTTAAATATTATTTAATATAATTTTATATTTTAATAATTATTAAAATATGATTTATATTATAATAATAGCTATATTAAAAAAATAAAAATAAAATAATAAAAATAAAAATAATAAAATAATAATAATAATAATATAAAATTTAACTTAATATATTCAAACTTATTAAGTTATATTAAAATAAATTAAACAATTATTAAATTGTAAATAAAAACAAAAATTTTCAAAAACTTGTTATCAAAAATCAGTTCTGTTTCTTATTTAAAATTTAATCAATATTTAATTTAATTAAAAATTATAGCATTATTTATTATATTTTTATATTTTAATAATTATTAAAATATGATTTATATTTTTATAATAGTTTTATTAAAAAACAAAAATAGTAATAACTAAAATAAGAGTAAAAATAATGAAAATAAAAATAATATTAAAAATCACATTTAATATATTTAAATATATTAAATTATATTAAAATTTNACCTCATTCCACAACCAAAGGGGCAAATCACCACCAACATCCAGCAACATCATCTTCTTCCCAAATCGCTACCAACACCGCGAGCTCCAACGCCATCAACAATCATCTTTCCACCGCGCACAAGCCTTCAACTTGCCATCGTCGGCGTCGCCTTCCACTCCTACTTTTCCCAGATCTCTTACATGCCCGCTTGGTCCAAGCTCGACTTCTGCCAATTCGTCGTCGCTTGGGCCGGCTCCGACCCCTACCCGTGTCGAACTTAATTCGACGACGCCCTGATTCCCAATCATTTCAATATTCGCGTCGCCAAAGGTGAGAGAATCCCTCTCCCCTGGGAGATTCTCCATTTTTCCTACCGAGTGATTAGGAAGTTGTATTGACTTTCTTTATGGAATTATGTTGTGCCTCGGATGACTGTGCGTGTGTGTAGCTTGTTTGATCATAATCTTGCAATTTCAATGTTGTGTTTTCTTACGGTTGCTTTTACTGGAGATTTCAGTTTATACCTCTGGTTATTATGGTGGCTTGTGATTAGAAAATGGATGAAAATGGAGACTTAGGGGATGGAATAATGGTGGGTGTGAAAGAGATGAGAGGAAGTTTTGAGTGATTGGGGGAGAAGAAAGAAGGGTTTGGGAAAAACGTAGCAAATACTTAATTTCATTTCAGAAAAAGAAAAGCAACGTGACACATAGTATCACACGTGGGCTCGTCGTTTGCTACATCAAAAAAAACTTAATGTAGTTCAGTTTTAAGGACTAAACATAAAAGTTTCAAAACTAAAAGAACTAAAATGAACAAACCTTTTGAAGAGGGACAAAAACCAAAATCGCTTCATAGTTTAGAGACTAAAAACATATTTAATATCGTTTGATAAAAATAATTGAGATTTTACACTTTTTTTTTATTATTCAAGTTCGTACTGTAATGTTACTATTAAATAAAATATCAACCTTGAAATTCTAGATATTTAATTTAGAAAAATTTTAAATTTGAATACTCAATAACATAATTTTTAATAAAAATTAATTAAATATATTCAAATTTATCATAAACCTAAAACTTAATTAATCATTTTTTTTTATATTTTTATATATAAATATAATATAATAAGCATGTTATTTTAATTTTAAAAACATCAAACATTAAATATTTTAATTGAAAAAAAATAAAACATTAAATACTTTAATAAAAAATTAGAAACATTTTAAACAATATAAATTTAATAAAAAATTAATTCAAAATACTCAAATACAGGAACTCTGTTAGATTGACCAATGTGCGGAAAGAAATGTGGTGACGCGGTGAGAATCGCAGTAATAAGGTGCGAAAAGAAAAGCGGCGAGGCTCACAGTTGGAAAAATGAAGTGCCCGTACTGCTCGGCGGCGCAGGGCCGCTGTGCGACGACGAGCAGCGGGCGTTCGATCACGGAGTGCACGTCTTGCGGGCGCGTGATGGAGGAGCGGCAGTCGCATCCTCACCACGTGTTCCACATGCGCGCCCAAGACAACCCTCTGTGTCTGGTTACATCGGATCTCCCTCTTCCTCTCAATCAGAACGAGGACGAGGACCCTTTCGAGCCCACGGGCTTCATCACTGCCTTCTCCACGTGGTCCCTGGAGCCCAGCCCACTTTACCTTCAGTCCTCCCTCTCCTTCTCCGGCCACCTCGCCGAGCTTGAACGCACTCTGGAATCCTCCTCTTCCTCTTCCTCTTCTTCTTCGTCAACGGTTGTGGTTGATAATCTGAGGGCCTACATGCAGATTATCGATGTGGCGTCAATTCTAGGGTTGGACTGCGACATTTCCGACCACGCTTTTCAGTTGTTCAGGGATTGTTGCTCCGCTACGTGTTTGAGAAACCGGAGTGTGGAGGCGCTTGCTACTGCCGCTCTTGTTCAGGCCATCAGAGAGGCCCAGGAACCCAGAACCCTTCAGGTCATTACGTTTCTGCTATGCTAACTTTCCATTTCTTTTTTCTCTTCTAATGAGTATAGTTCAACGATTGATTTCAATTGTGTCTTCGTGATAAATGAACGCGTGCATTTTCTTGCGTGGAAATCTACTGTCGGTCTTTTTAGGAATTTGTGAAGGAAGAACCATCGCATTCAAAAAAGTAGCTAGCATTTGAGTTTGCTTTCAGTAGGAAGATACTACTTGCTTGATATATTGGATGGCTCGAAACATGGAACTTATTGTGATATCTGTAATATTGATGCTTGTGTAGTGATATGGCAGGAAATTTCAATTGCAGCCAATGTACAGCAAAAGGAAATTGGGAAATATATTAAGATACTGGGAGAGGCTTTGCAGCTAAGTCAACCTATTAACAGCAATTCCATTTCAGTTCATATGCCAAGATTTTGCACGCTTCTTCAGCTCAATAAATCTGCCCAGGTACCAACGAGCACATTCAAATTTCGTGGCCTCAACATTTTGTTTTGAAATCTTGAAAGGGTTTATCTATGCCTACAAGCAAAAAGCCATTGAATTAAATAACTGCTCGATTTCTCCTGCTCTTGCATTTGCAAGGTTCTAGAATTTTTTTCATTGCTATTCTCTTTGTAAACTGAAGCTTTTTTTTTATACCGACAGAATAAAGAATTTATGTACGTGACAGGATATACTTTTGGTATTGGTGATGTGTAGCCATTACATTTGTTGTCTAAGCACCGATTTTGGTGCATTTTTTTATTATGTACCATATATTACAGAATTCTGAGAACAAGTCCTACAATTTTTTTAAGGAACTGGCTACTCACATTGGAGAGGTCGTGATCAACAAATGCTTCTGTACTCGCAGGAATCCTATTAGCATCTCAGCTGCTGCTATATATTTGGCTTGCCAACTTGAAGACAAGCGCAAAACCCAGGCAGAAATTTGTAAGGTGACTGGTCTTACTGAAGTCACTCTCCGTAAAGTGTACAAGGAACTATTGGAAAATTGGGATGATTTGCTTCCCTCTAATTACACCCCAGCTGTTCCTCCAGAGAGGGCATTTCCCACAACGATAATTGCTTCTGGCCGTTCTTCAACAGTTAAGGCTGATGCTGTAGAGGCTATTTCTTCTTTGGACTCAGAAAAGTTGACGGATATTAAACCTAGCAAAGCCAATGAGGTCTCAGGCCTAGTTCATCAGCCCAAAGGGAAGGATGAGGCTGAAGGTAAAAGCAATGCACATGGAAGCCATTCCACACTGAATCAACAGTCAACTTTTTGGCAATCCCAGCTTCCCAGTGGTACCAACAATCATCAGAATGTTTTACAAGGAATGGATATTGATGTATTGCAGAGAAGCCACCAACAGCCTGAACACATGGCAGAGGATACAAATGGTTCTGCAAACGGTAATGCGTTAAAATCAAGCCAACTTTGCAGTCCTCCTGCTTCGAGTGCAAGTTCTGTTATGAGACCATTTTCAGCTCCCCCTTCAGCCGGCCCTTCAAATGTTCGATTAGGACAGTCACCTAAGATAATGCCAGGTTTTCCGGAGCACTGAAGAACAATGAATCAATATGCTTGGGAAAATATAGGTTATAGTGCCAACACCAAACCTAGAACGGATAAAATTAGTTTGTCACTTTTAAGTAATCTATTGTATATATTCACATTATGTCATTTGATTCAATTCTGTGTTGTGAACTTGATGGTATTGCAAGAACCTAGAGCTAGAAATTCATCGATAACTTAACACCAAGGGTTTGAAACCTGTTTGGGTCACTGCAATTGGGGTTCACATCTTCTAAAGCGTGAAATTAAGGAAGAATTTATGTCTTTTATGTTCAACAACTGTTTACATGGATGTAACTGGTAACTAAACTCATACTAACTCGTAACATGTTGTATTTGGACTTATCATTCAAACTCGTTGATTTCTTTGAATATGGAAGTCACGGTCCCATGTATCTGATTTCAGATTTCGTTCAAAAGTCGGAGTCAATACAGGACAACCTGGAACTAGTGCTCTACGTGTATTTCGTGCCCCTCCTCATCTCATCTCTACTCGAGGACTTAATTCTGAAGGGCTGTTCATCCATAGCAGGGTCGAGTAAGAAGTGCATCACATCGGTACCACCATGAAACAAGGTTCTGTTACACCCATCCTATCTCTATACCTATTCCTATTCCTATTCCACCCACTTTGCGTTCTCGTATTTTCGTATTCATTTATTTAGTTATCGTGTCTCTAATAGTAATTGAGTTGAAAATTGTGTGTAATGAGTGTATTAAGAAAAGTATACAACAATGAAAATTTTGAAATAATTAAAATAAGGCAAGTACCTGGTTGTAGCTGGTAGCCAGCACCTTAGTCAGTGGTGGGAATGTGTGCAAAGAAGACTCATGAAGTAGCGTGAGGTTAGAAGTTATTCAGATCAAACATGGTTCCCTTATATGCAGCAAAGACAATTTATCTCTTTAACCTGATAACTGATCATGAAAATACTGATAAAATATCTTTGGCGAAATATCGGAGTTCATATTTATCAGTAAGGTGGGAAAAATAGGATATTGTTGTACGTGGGAATCTCTACACACCATTCGGTTCTTGACTCAAGTTTGAGTTTGCGACGAACTAAAGGATAGGTAAGCTTAATGCTACTAAGAGGAGGCTAAACTCATTCATTTGATACTTGTCTGATCGAGTAGTACATAAGTCTATCAAAGTTTGAGCTCCGAATGAAAGAAGAGCTTTGTAGAACAGTTCAGATGGGCGAGGTATAGTGGTTATAATGATGTGTTCTTGGTGTTTTAATCGTCGTCGGAGGCTTAGCTGGTCCAATAGTACATAAGTCTACCGAAGTAGAGCTTCAAAAGAGCGAAGAGCTTTGACGAAACAATTCAAATGGGTGAGGTGTAAGGGTGCTTTTTGTGATGTTTTGCTCCTCGTAGTCTTTGGAGGCTTATGTGGGATGTTTTAGTTCGTAGTCCTAGACTATGAATGAGAGTCTCGAGTTTGGGATAAGGGTTCCACTATATTCACATTTTGAAAAAAGTTCCTTGAGCACCTCTCCAGTTTTCTACCCCTATTTGACACCTACTAAAAAAATATTTTTTTAATCTTCCAAGTGATTTATTTTAAATTATTTTATATTTTAAAGTAAAAATACTATTTTATAGGTGTATATCATTGGCCTAAATTTTATATTCACTATTTTACTTTTTTTCTATAAATACAAATGTTATTTCATAATGGTTATATTTCCTCTAAAAGTGGTTGTCATGTGATTATAATTTATATTGGGCGTTAAAAAAAAATCTCTTTGGACAAAACATAAAATTTAATTTAAATATTAAATTATAAGTTTTATTATTAATATAAGTAATAATAATATTATTTTTAAAGTTAAATATGTTCTTAATTTTTAAGCAAATTTGGATTTCATTTTTATTTTAAATAATAATTTTTTTATTTTTAAACTTTATTAATGACTAAATGTAATTTTGTGATAAAACAATGTTAAAAAAAATTGTGATGTGAGTGTCTTCTCCATTCATTTTCCTTCCTTTCTCTACCTTTACCTCCTTCCTTGCACTCCACCATGCATCTTTAATGGTCTCTTACAGTTGAAGGTGAGATTCCTCTGATCGGAAGACACCCGGATATGTTCATAAGAAAACCATAGACTACAAATTTCAATTGCAAAGCAAAATTTACAGAGTGTATCATCCTACACTTCCAATTTTTTTAAAAATTTCATTTTTAACTTTTTTCTTTTTCTTATTAAAAACATTTTAATAAATATCTTTTTATTTTCTTCTTTTATAAAAGACACTCTACACCACCTTAATAATAATTCTAATTTAATTTAAAATTTAAATATTATTTAATATAATTTTATATTTTAATAATTATTAAAATATGATTTATATTATAATAATAGCTATATTAAAAAAATAAAAATAAAATAATAAAAATAAAAATAATAACATAATAATAATAATAATATAAAATTTAACTTAGTATATTCAAACTTATTAAGTTATATTAAAATAAATTAAACAATTATTAAATTGTAAATAAAAACAAAAATTTTCAAAAACTTGTTATCAAAAATCAGTTCTGTTTCTTATTTAAAATTTAATCAATATTTAATTTAATTAAAAATTATAGCATTATTTATTATATTTTTATATTTTAATAATTATTAAAATATGATTTATATTTTTATAATAGTTTTATTAAAAAACAAAAATAGTAATAACTAAAATAAGAGTAAAAATAATGAAAATAAAAATAATATTAAAAATCACATTTAATATATTTAAATATATTAAATTATATTAAAATTTAAATAAAAATAAAACATTTAGAAAAATTTATTTATCGGATATCCATATCCAATCACAAATTTATCGGATTTCTATACATGACTAACCCATGTTTCCAAAATTTTGTTTTTTATTTAAATTTTAATAATTATTTAATTTAATTTAATATTTTAATATAATTTAATATATTAAATGTGATTTTTAATATTATTTTTATTTCATGGTTACTTTTATTTTTATTCTTTTAATAAAACTATTATAAAAATATAAATCATATTTTAATAATTATTAAATAATAAAAATATAAAAGAATATTATAATTTTCAATTAAATTAAATATTGACTAATTTTAAATAAAAAAATTGATTTTAATATCTGACAAACAAATTTTAAAAACATTTTGTTTTTATTTAAAATTTAATAATTATTTAACTTATTTTAATATTTTAATATTTTAATATAATTTAATATATTTGAATATATTAAATCAAATTTTATATTATTTTTATTTTTATTTTTTAATATTACTATTATTATAATATAAATCATATTTTAATAATTATTAAAATATAAAATTATATTAAATAATACTTAAATTTTAAAATTAAGGTGGTTTAGAATCTCTTATTAAAGAGAATAAAATAAAATGATATTTATTAAAGTATCTTTAATAGGAAAAAGAATAAAATAAAATGATATTTATTAAAGTATCAAAGAGAAGAAAATAAAAAGATATTTATTAAAATTAAAAATGAAATTTTCAAAAAAATTGGAGGTGCAGGATGTCAGAAGGTTAAAAATGAAATTTTTGGAAGTGGAGGATGAGATGTTAGAGATTAAGGATGAAACACTCAAAATTATAAATATTTGCAACCCATGAAAAAAAAAACAAAAAGCCCAAAATTTTTTAAAACGAAGTTGAACAAAACATTATCGGGTATTGCTCCCTCCACCACCACACATTTCTCCCTCCACCTCCCCTTTACTATTTTATCCTTCAGTAAAATTTTATTTTTATGGTTATTGTTTTTTAATTTTACCCATTCACAATCTATTTCACTAATAATCTATTCTAGTCCCGTACATGAGTAAAATATTTTTCTTTCATTTTAACATTATATTTCTTCCTCTTTTTTCTTTCGTCGTTGTGAGATACTACAAGTTGCAAAGGTTGGTGGTGGTGGAAAGAATTATCAAGCAGTCTCCCTCTCATGGTGCAGTGTCACTCTCGTGGTGCAGTGCGTGGAGTGGTGCAGTGCGTGTTGTGCTTCCTCGTATTCGAATAAACCTTGAAATAAAACTCTAAAATAAAAAACGTAAACGGAGGTGACATCCTTCAACGGATGTTAGCATCCTTCAAATGTCAGCATCCTTCAAATGTCAGCATCCTTCAACGGATGTCAGCATCCTTCAACAGATGTCAACTTCCGTTTAAGGAAAAACGAATGTCGACATCCGTTTTACCTTAAACGGATGTTGACATCCGTTGAAGATGTCACCTCCGTTTAAAGGTTACCTTTTTTATTTTAGAGTTTGTTTTATTAGGGGACATCCGTTGAAGGATGTCACCTCCGTTAATGTATACTTTCTCACGCTGGTTGATGCTCTGGACGCTCCTCAATGATGTTCCTCCACACCACGACGACGACGCTCCTTCACACCACGGCGGCAATGGAAGCTTTCAAACCAAAAAAAAAACTGAAAAGAAAAAGGAATGGAAGTGCGGGAGGTGGGGAGGTGAAACGAAAATGGGGAAAGGAGAAGAGAGTTCGTGAGTGGGTGCTGGGAAAATAAAATTAGGGTTTCAAATTATTTAAAATAGGATAAAAGTAAAAATCTTTTTAACTTAAGGATATAATTGTATTTAAAATAATGTGGGGAGGTGGAGAAAGTATAGGGTGGTGGTGAAGGGAGCAACACCCAACATTATCCCTTAAACCAGTCCAAAATTTCCAAAACTTTTTTACCTCTAATGGTAAGAGTGGTTATCTTGCACTTCTCTTTCTTCTTGCACCTCTCTTTCTTCTTTATGAACCTTCAAAATTACATATATAACGTTTAATTTTTTTATTAAATTATTTTATTTTTCTCTTTTTTTTTTCTTCTGTGATTGTCTCACTCACTTCACTTTTTTTATTCTTTAACCGGCTTTCAACAATCGATTAAGAATTTAACGATTTTTGGTTAAGTTTTCCAATATAATATTTTCTTAACTAGCTTATGAAAATCGATAGTATTAAATTTAAAATAACAAAAAAGTTAAAATAACAAAAAAGTTAAAATAACAAATCATAAATTTTGAAAATTCAAAATAAAATAGACAAAAACAGAAAAAAAATTTAACAAATGCGCAGAAAGATTGAAACCTTAATTATTTAAACCTAATCTCATTATTTTGTGTCTTCATGTAGTTAATTTGATTTTTGTTTTAATATTTAATTTATAAAATGGATTAATGTCCTTTTTATAAAGATAATTAAGATTTAATAACTTTATTTTTTTTAATTATCTAAGTT